AGCAGCCGCCCGCCCGCCTCGCCGAGCGAGAGGCGGAGCGCGGCCATGTCGAGCAGCAGCCAGGCCACCGAGGCGGCGAACACGAAGGCCAGGGCCCGCCCGCTGCCGCGGAACAGCCGCCGCAGCCCGCTCATCCCGGGCGGGCGCGGGAGCCCCGGGCCGGCGGAGCGGGAGGCGGGCCGGGGATAGGGCTGGGACCAGGGACGGGGATGGGGATGGGGCCGGGACAGGGATGGGGATGGGCCGGGACGAGGCTGACCCGCCCCGCCCCGCACCGAGACCCGCCCGCGCTGGAACCCGATCCGGGACCGATCCGGGACCCGCCCGGCCCCGGCCGGACACCCCGGGGGCAGCGGGGCTGTGCCAGACCGGGGCACGGGGGTGTGGCTAGGGGGGACATCCCGGGGTCAGTGGTGGGGCTGGGGGCACATCCCGGGGTCAGTGATGGGGCTGGGGGCACATCCCGGGATCAGTGGTGGGGATCACTGATGGGGCTGGGGGCTCTCTGCCCGGGTCCGTGCCTCGGGGGTCCCCGCCGTGGCTGGGGGGCCGTGGCTGGGGGGCCGTGGCTCGGGGGGCCGTGGCTCGGGGGCCGTGGCTCGGGGGCCGTGGCTCGGGGGCCGCGGGTGTGGGGCCGTGCGTGTCGCTGCTCCACGTGGCAGCTGGCGGGGGCCGTGGCTGGGGGGCCGTGGCTGGGGGGCCGTGGCTCGGGGGCCGTGCGTGTCGCTGCTCCACGTGGCAGCTGGCGGCGGTCGGTGGTTGAGCCGCGGCTGAGGACGTGGGTGTGTTCACATCCCGCTCAATTACAGGGCGCGGGAGCCACGCTGGCGGACACGGCAGCCTCCGGTGGGCCGAGCCCGACAGCGCCAAGGAAGGAACCGGCGGGGAACACCCTCCTGCTCCCGTTCGGGCTCCTGCTCCCCGGCCGGGACGTGGCAGGTTTTGCCGGCAGGGCAGGCTGTGCTCGCTGTCCTGGCTGTGCCAGCTGTGCCGTGTGCGCTGGCTGTCCTGGCAGGCCAGGCTGCACTGGCTGTGGTGCTCTCCAGGCTGTCCTGGCTGTCCTGGCAGTGCTGGCACAGCCACGGCGGAGCCCCATGAGGCGACAGCACCGAGAGAGCAACGCATCCCTCGGGAATGGGAACACCTCGGAGAGTCTTTGCCACCCCACAGCAGCGGGGTCTGTCACCGCAGGCACTGGCTGCTGAGCTGCCGGGACCCCAGCGGCCAGGGCAGGGCAGCGGCTCCGGCCAGGGAGAGTGCCTGGGGACACGGGCACCGCCGGGGCACCGGGCACGGCCAGGGCAAGGAGCTGTGGGGTCAGCTGTGGGCAGCAGCTCCGAGAACTCGGGATACTGGCACCTGAGTGAAAGAAAAAAAAAACTGAGCTGGTGTTTTGCAGCTTTACTAAACTTGGCTTAAGCTCTCCTAGAGTTCTCTGGTATTAATAAATTTAATAGCAATGCACTGTTTCCAAATCCCAAAGCAGGAGATTTTGTTAAATAAAGGGCTCCAACCCACTGCAGTGCGTATGAATATTGAAAAGAAATAAGTGGGAAAAATTACATTAATATTCATACTTCACAAAATTAACAATATCAAAACCCAGCCTATGGTTATGTTGTGTGATGGAAAACAAAGGAAATGGCCATTCTGTTGTTTTTCCAAGGCTTTTCTTTGCCAAGCAAACTCCTTCAGACGTGGCAGGCAGTTCTGATTTCGGAGGATTTGCATGTGTGGATGGTGCTTGAGGACTCTCAGTAAGCAGGGGGGAAGGATAAGATTGCAAAAAACTCTCTAAAAGGAAAAAAAAAAAAGAGCATCAGCTTGACAGTGAGCAAGAGATGAACTTAAATGGAACAATTCCGTTTGTTTAGAAATAAAAGTTTGACGCACACGGTCTGTGCTTCATTCACCATGCTGGCACAATTTTTCCTTTTTCATCTGGTTTTTCCCCCTGCTGGTGCTGACCCTCCCTGGGGCATGGCTGATCCCACTGCTGGGCCCTGCCAGCACACCCTGGGCCGTGTTCTTGGGCTCAGCCCCGGGCACAGCACCCACACAGGGACATGGCAGCATGTGGTGACCCCTGGAGCTGCTGGAAGTGTCTTCCTCTGCCAGCGGGACAGGCCAGCAGCCTCTTCCCGAATCCCTGGGCACAAGATCCAGCCCTGCAGGGCAGGGGGAGACCCGGGTGTCCCCGCTGAGCCTCAGCCTTACGCGCTGTGACAGAGTCACTGCCATCTCGGTGTGGTCAGGCACTCCCTCCCCACACTGCGCTTTGGCTCTCCTCCCTGGCAAGTGCCAGTGTTCCAGATAGCTGAACAGATTCCATGACACAAGACAGCTGCTTTTGTAGGGAGGAATTAATTTAATCAAGTATTCCATCATTAAAATAATCTGACGCGTCAGATGGAAAGAGCGGAAGCAAGCTTGCTGAAAGATGAAAACTCAACACTTTTTCAGCCAGAAGTGTCCCAGAAGATAAGGAAATGTTAATATCACTCACTCTAGGTCTCTGGATAATATTTTAGCAGTGTAAATAATACATTGTCCAAAAAGAATTCGTGAGGGAAGGATCTCTTGCCAAAGCCTGGCTAGCTTGGTAAATCGTATTTCTTCCACGGAGCACAAGAATCTCAGAATGGTTTGGGTTGGGAGGGACATAAAAACTCATCCAGTTCCACACCCTGCCATGGGCAGGGACACCTTCCACTGTCCCACTGAAGGAAACACTGAAGCTGGAGTACCCTGTCCCGCTGGGGTGTGTGGTGTTGTTCTGGAAGCCAGAGGGGATTGAAAATTGAACCTTTGGAAGAAGAGTTTGCGGTCATGTTCTGCAGGAAAACCCCAAAGCTGTAGAGGCAGAAAGCTGGGAAATGCTGTGCAGTTGTATGCTGGATGCTTAAAAATCTGGAGCTGAAGAGACTGCAGCTGGCATTTCTGTTTTGGAAGGTGTCTGGACTTTTAAGCTGGCCTCGTTACCCCGGGCCGGGTGGCGGCAGCGAGCCCCGGTGTTGGATGGCTGTTTGCACGGTGTGTGAGTGAGGGCAGCTCTCCCCAGAACGGGGCTGGTTACACAGCCAGGGGCTGGAATAGCTGCTGCAGTTCGGGTTTGCTGTGGGTGCTGCCCGTGGTGGCCCTGCTGGGCTCCCTGCCGTGGCACAGGAGCGTGCCGCAGCGCCGCTGCCGGCACCGGCACCGGCAACAGAGCGGGCACCCTGATTTGCATAGAGGTCATGTTTTGCTAATATGTGTCTTGTAGAAGCAGACAGCATGTAAAAGAGGATGGTTAAAACCTGACCCAGCGATGTTTTTAAATTTCAGATTATGCATATCGTATGCATTAAATTAATTAGGGAATTCATTAAGAAGGGAAGAGTAAAGAAACTAGTGAGCAGTGTGCAGCATTGGTAATGTAAGCCATTTTCTATAATTGTTATATAGAATTTGTCTCATAATATTATCCTTTGATAAATTATTGCAGCATAATATGATATATGTAGCTTATTAACAGTTTCATTAATTACTATTAGAGCAAAGACACTGAAGTCTGGCACACACAGAACAAGTGCTGAAGCAGATGGTTGAAATTAGTGAAATGCAATTGGTTGCTGAACCCTTTTACCTAATTACATCATTACATCAAAACAGTTAAACCGAATTTGTCAAGTTGTCTGCTGAGCACGGGGATGTTTGGAGCAGGGATGGCCCTGGGCTGCAGCTCCCCGCGGGGTCAGGGACCCCCTGGGCATCATCCCCTGGCTCTGGGCTGCAAACCTCCCATATTGTCCACTCACTGCACCCAGGTTAGTCCCGTATTCCTTTTCCTCCCCCTCGTTTCCCGCTCAGCCCCGCTGTCCCAGGGCTGTGCAGGGCAGCGAGGCAGCAGCACTGACTCGCTGGTTCCTCATCAGGAGCTGGTTCCTTAGCAGGAGCTGGTTCCTCATCAGGAGCCTTGCCACGTCCTCGCTGCTGCTGGGTTCTGTCAGGGGACACTGTGCTCCACACCCTCACTCAGAACCTTAACCTGGGGATCAGTCGGGCTGGCTGATAGCACCCATTGCCCAGCAGCACTCCACAGCACCGCCCTCCTTCCTCATCCTCCCCGAAGGCTTTTGTGAGCAGGTGA